TCCTCTCAGTTTAAATATGCAACAAAATGTTGGTGGTTAGATATTGTCATTACACTGCAGAACTGACAGCTAGGAAGTTTTGACTGCCTGGATGGATGCATGGGACTGCCAGTATCTGGTTTTTGGAATCTGGTGGTTGGATTAGGCTTCTGGTACTGGAGAGGAGAGGCAACCCTTCTCCTCATTCTTGACTTCAGAACAAGTACTGACCTGAACTTCTGTTTGGAAAACAAGGTATTGTATGTCATCATTAAGTCGAGATGTCCTCCAAAATCTGATCCTAGTGATGAACAGCTAAGAAGAACCACCTCGGGTAAAGGTTTCTCCTTGATCTGCTACTGAAAGTGCAGGCCCAGATTCAATAAAGCCCTTAAGAACCCTTTAACATCCCACTGACTACAAGAGCAAGCCAAAGTCAATGAAGCACAGTGACAGCCAAGCATAAGCTTATACATTTTCCTGAACAGGCTGCAGTAAATAACAACTGATACTGAGGGATTTCTACTTTCACTTAGTCACATGATAAAGATCTAGGAGATAAATATCTGATAATATTTGGAGTGCAATTTCCTTTTTAAATCCATTTTAATAGTCTCACTCGTCAATTGCTAGCTGATACAGTTATGTTTCTTGTGTTAAACCACATTCTGCTTTGGGCAGTAATCTTTTCAATTGGACACCACATTTTAAATAATCTAAAGAAATCTGAGTATGCTGAAAACTTGGGACCCAATTTTGCTTTACATTCAGCAGCACTATAAATGATTGGAATTTCCTGCAGGCCTGACGATCACATGAAATTAATGTAGCATGCAGTGAATGCCTTCAAACTTTCCAAACTGAAAAGCTAAACATGACAGTTCTTTATCCATACTTTTTTTGGCAGTATAGTCTGCTGCATCTATGCTTTATTAAAAATACTGCTAAAGTAACTCTCAGTGTTGCACTGTGCCTCCTGAGAAGTACTGAATATTGTCAATTTTCATGAAGGTCAAAAGCCTTCATCACCATGCAGGACTAAGCTCATAATGAATCAAGAAAAAAAATGCCAGAAACTTGAGGGTCGTGTGTGCTTTTAAAGTACTGTTAAGTCAGCATGTATAAGGTAACTATAACCAAGTGCAGCACACTGGCTACAAATTACAGGTGAAATATTGGTTCCAAAATCAACAGATGATTTCGGTAGTGTGAGGATTTAGCAGTCCAGTTTAGAAAACATGTTAAAAGGAACAGGGATTCACCATGTAGAACTGCAATGTAATTCAAAATTAGAATTGAATATTAATGAGCAAATTTTAGAGAAAATCATTCATTTTCATTAGACAAACTGAATAAAGTTTATGCATCCATACATGAATACAATATTAATGCAACTGAACTACTGAAAATGGAAGTTTTTATCAAAGAAAGCCTATTCTATGTTAATTAATGTTACAACCAATGTCCTTTACATTCACTTAGACTTAAAAATCCAACTAAATAAACTGTCAATTTTGCAATGTACTGACTGTATATAATATAATTATAAACTGCCTTAAAACAAAGGTCCTATTTTGAATTTCCAATGTAAATTTTACAAGTATAGCAGCCTCATAGCAGCCTTCCAGTGTCTGAAGGGGGCCTATAGGGATGCTGGGGAGGGACTCTTCATTAGGGATTGTAGTGATAGGACAAGGGGTAACAGGTTAAAACTTAAACAGGGGAAGTTTAGATTGGATATAAGGAGGAAATTCTTTCCTGTTAGGGTGGTGAGGCACTGGAATGGGTTGCCCAGGGAGGTTGTGAATGCTCCATCCCTGGCAGTGTTCAAGACCAGGTTGGACGAGGCCTTGGGTGAGATGGTTTAGTGTGAGGTGTCCCTGCCCATGGCAGGGGGATTGGAACTAGATGATCTTAAGGTCCTTTCCAACCCTAACTATTTTATGATTCTATGATTTAAACTACAAGTTTTAATTCCACAGATAAAGCCATCATCTGGAGCAACAGTCAAAATGACATATTTAGCTAATTAGTTGAATTACTTATTACTAGCAGTGGATAATTAGTTTCAAAACATAGTATGAAATCTTATTGAAAGATCATAAGCAAAGATTATAAGCAAATTTTTTTCAGTGAAAATTAATATATAGTTAGTTTTGTTCTAACATGCCTACACAGTTTTGCCTAGTGAAACTAACATCACTGCTACCTGCTGCTCTGCTTTATAATGGGATCAAAGTTTTCTCGTTTTGTCACCAAAGTCCAAATCAAACCTTAATGAAATAGCTACAATTCTGTTAAATGCAACTCTTCCAGGACTTGAGAAACAGAATGGAAGACGGACATACCTAGGAGGCCCATAGAGCTGACTACCTGTGAACTTAGCTATCAGCAGAACTACAAGAACACACTCAAAAGTCAGAAGATACTGCCTTCTGTAATTCTCATTATTTTCACAACTTCTCATTTTGGTAAGGATATATACAGTCTTTCAAAATTATTAACTCACAAAACCACCTCTTCACTCATAAATTACCCTAGCACATTTTAAGTGTTACTCATTAACACAAGCTTTTAGTTTTTGTTCACTGTTGCAATGATTCTCAGGTAATAAAAACGAAACTGTACACTCGTATTGCCTATTGGTTCCAGGTTTAAAAGTGAACAGAACCACCCCTGGACTTTTGAGCAACTTCTCAGATTGTTACCTGGTTCCTATCTGACAGCAATCATTCAACACGAAATCTATATTACATAGATTTCACTTGTCCTCTAAATTATGCCAGATGTTAACATTTTCTTCATCCTCTATGACCATTATGTTCATTACTAGTGCCAATGCAAAAGCCAAAAGAACTGCACCAAACCCAGAAGAATCCTCACCTATTTGTTCTGACCTTGTATTCTTTCTGTCTGACTAGAAGCCATCATAAAGCTGATTTGGCTAAGGAGCCTATTATGTCACCAATATGACACAAGTTGTTATGGGCCTGCCATTCCAGGTTGCAGGAGATTCAGAAGGATTTTACTTCCTGCAGAGCTTCGTATTTGTTTTTACCTGGCCCTGAATCTTGTATGTCTGCCTATCTTGGAAACATAGTGGCATAAGGAACAGAATTAAATTGATACAATTTAGATGGAATTACGCAAACACATAAAGTTCACTGATTTTTAAGTTTTCTTTTGCTTTACTCCACAAGTTCGCAAATCAATGAATGCAGCACATTCTCTCTATGCAGATCCATTGTATTTCTGATCCTACAGCAAGCCAAACCAGCAAACAGCATTTTACCCAAAGAAGAGCTGTTGAGTCCGTCCACCCCTCTCACCACCTCAACCCCTCCCTCCTGCCCACCCCCCACCTTGTTTCTCAATAAATACATTTCCGTCTTGGGTTGAAATTAGTCATTTCCTCCTTCTTGTAACAAATCATGTTTAGGAAATCAGGAACCTCAATCTTTATGTGCATAAATTACACATTCTTCACTGTATTTTTACTGTACCCCAAAAGCGTAAAAACATTTAACTTTTTTGCAAGATAATGATGAACACAAGAATGCCATCCCTTGCGTCTAAACACATCTGAGTTTCTTTAACAGAAATGCCATGCATGTTTCTGAATACTGTCATGAGGCCCATGGCAATAAAGTTCAACATACTCAGGCTGTAATCTTCTCCCAAGGAAATGGTTGGGATGCCAAGATGCCTTTTGACTTTTATTTCACAGCAGGGCTTCATTCACAGTGACTCTGTCCAAACCTTAAACTACACCAGCTGTGATACAAGGTCCTGCACAGTAATTTGTAAAAAGTATTTGACAAACAACATTCAAATGATAGACTATACTGCAGTGCATGAGAAAACAGTGATCAATATCCAGTAACAGCTCAGTTGGAAAGGAGCAATTAATTCATAATATATATAAAGACAGCAATGTACTCCTCAAGCCTTGGTAGACCAAAGCACTTTGCAGTGATTGTGAAACATAGACGGGATACTTCATAAACCACTTTATGGACAGTTTGGCTAATAGAGTTAGGGAACAACAAAAAAAATGCTTAAAATATTAGAAGAACTATTAAAATAGATGCAGTATTCCAGTATAGTCCAGTTATCTACTAGTGAATCAGTTCACAAGTGCACAGTACACGTTCTTATGCATGTTAGCGTTCATTCAGTGCACAGTAGCGTCTCTTCTAAATTATAAGCAAAGTCACAAACTTCCAAACACATAAGAATACATTCATCTTGCTTACTTTAATTTTATTGTTCTCTAATGCAATTTTCTAATTTTATATACTTTCAACAGAAATGCATCACATCATTGGTGCAATTCTATACAATTTTTACAACTTAATAAGAATTAACACCTTTTAAAAAAAAAAAAAATACCAGGTTTCTACATGTACAGGAAGTGATTCACTGAAAAAATCAGGTTTTTACTTCAGAAAAAAATAAAGTTTGGCTAGAAGTGGAATTTTACACCTGTCTTCTAAAATGCAGAGTCTACATTCAGCTCAAATCAATTACCTAAAGATTCTGGGTCTAGTTCACTATGGAGAAATTGAACATACAATGGCTGATGAAATGTAACTTGGAAATAGGCCTCACTGAAAATTTTCCATTTTATATCATGCAATTACAAAATAATTTTTATTTATGCTAAAAACCACCCTGACATTACCTTAGAGAACTTCTAAGTCCCAAAACTTTCCCCTTGGTAGACTTAGTCTCTTGGTAGACTTCCTTTCTTGGTAGACTAGTTATAGGTACCTCGTCAATTATAACTGATTTGCTGAGGAAACAAGTAAAACCTTGGACAAGACCTCAAAGAAGACAAGGAACAGGTTCAAGGGATCTATAGGTGGTCTGTAGGGAGCAAATCCTTATAGAAAGCATTTCCAGATACATGAAGAACAAGAAAGTGGTTGAGAACAGAAAGCATAGGCTGACCAAGAGAAACCTCTATGATGAAACAACCTCTGTGGCTGAGGAAAGAGCAGCACAGTCTTTAACAGGGCTTTTGACACTGGCTCCTTTGGTATCCTAGTAGGCAAGCTGGAGAGATACAGTCTATATGAAAGAATGGAAAACTGATTGCACTGTCTGCAAAAACAGCAAAAAACAGCAGTTAATGGTTCTGAGTTTAACAGGCAATATTTTCATTAATGACCTGGTGAATGGCATGAAATGCACCTTCATCATTTGAGGAAGTGGTATATACACTGGGTAACAGGACTGCTACTAACTGGCATCACAGCCTGTCAGAAAAAGACTAACAAGAACTTCCTGAACTTCAATAAAGACAAATGCAAAGTTCTGCACAGGAGAGAGGGTAACGGCATGCAAAAACATAAGCTACATATGAACAGCAACCGGAAACATGTGCTGTGCGATACATGTCAAACCAAGACTGTGCCTTAAAATTCAGAAAAAGGTACAAAATTAATGACCCTACTTTGTTGCCATTTGCAGATATGAGCAAACTCCGTACAGTATAGACAGCTCTAAAGAATCGCTAAAACGGGTAATACTGCAGTTGAATTTAATGGGCACCTAAAATGAGAAGAAATAGAAATATTTTGAAGTACCTTGACATCAGGGGAAAAAAAAAAAAGCACTGTAAGACTAGTAACTGGCAGTAGAATTGAACAGATTTAGAATAGTGATATTCAGTTTCTCAAAGAAATATATGAGGTAAAGAGTAAATAATTGGAAACAATGTGTAAGGCTGATGAGAGATAGAAGGGGGAAGAATATCTTGTACCAAAGTCAAAAATATTTAACACATTAGTCTCACCAAGAGATATATATACCATAGCAGGGGCAAAAGAATAAAATAATCAGAGAGTTTAAAGATCTCATCCAAGAGATGGAAACTATCAGAAGTGCAGAACTGAAAAACGCCCAGATGAAGTATATAAAGGGAAAACACTGTGCTTAACCAGCAAAGACAAAAACTATTGGAGAGAAAGCTGATAACAAATATTCTCTTTTTTCCTTTTAAAAATATAGATATAGAAATACCAAATGCATCCACAGGGTTCTGGCAGGTGCCCCTGGGAACTGAAGTACATGTTTGTGTGCATGTAACACTGCCTCTGGGAGATGCATTTTTCACAAACCGCCAGAAGTAGAGTTTCTTTTCAATATGTATTTGACATCTTGTTGCCTGAGACCTTCAGTTTTTCTACGCCAACCTTGATATACTGAGAAGCATTGCTACAGTTTTGGCAAAGGCACCAGCTAGTCTGCATACAGCTGCACCAAAGGACAAGAAAAACGACAATGACCAGCTGCTTCTGGAAGAAGTGCTCTTGGATCGGCTTTGCTGGTGCAACTCCATTTCTGGATTAATTAAACAAGTGTCAGCTGCTGGAAGAGGATATTTCTGGGATGACCTGCAATGGCTGCAGAATTTCAAGGATGACAAAGGGGGGTGGGGGGGTGTGTTTGTGGTTTTTTGAGCTAATTCTGCTTATCATAAGGTTGTGAATCTTTAATTCAGCCAGTAAGGGCGTTTCCATGCTTAGGCAGAAATGACACATTGTATAGTTGTGCTGGTGAACCTAATGGAACCTAAAATCCCTTGTTGCCAACCTTGCTGCCAGACCTCTCAGTTCTTTAATAGACTGGAATGTAAATTTACTGTTATATTTCAAAGAGTAGCTGCAGTTTTAACAACTTTAATACAAGCTGTTGTACAATTGCTTAATCCAAAAATCAACCTTGTAACTACATCAGAGTAGGCTCATTCCACATCGTGAAAAATAATGCTACTAAAGCCATTATCAGAAATACCTGATTTTTCTGCAGAAAAAACTCCCAGCAAATTTAAGGCTCTATAACTCCAGCTCATAAAGTCTTTTAAAGGATAAATGGGTCATAGAAGAGAATACCTAAGGCAAATTTGGGAAAAACTGAAGGAGCTATGTTCTGTGTGATTAGGTAGCATGCTGCAGAGCAGTGTCCACCTTGATTAACACATTAAATCTGTACAATCAAGGAAGAATGTTGTTCCAAAGCCTGGAAAGCCCAAGAGTTTCAGAGATTTAAAAAGCTGCCTGATTTAGTGAAGCTCTCCCTTCAAGATCTCATTCATCAGTGAAATACATATGTTCTGAAACAAATACTTAAACTGTGGATAAGAATACATACAAAAATAGATTATTTTTATTTAACTTAATGTGAAGTATTTTAAGTGTTCGGATTGTACTTTTAAATGCATGGCAGCAGCTTCTTTCATAGGGATACAGATTTTATTTGAAGTCTTAACGCTTTTTGTGGTTCAATAATACAAGTATGATAAATGCATGTGAGATGTGGAACTTTCTTACGAAACTTTCACGAAAAATTTGTTCCTTTAATGTTTATAATAAAGTGGGTGTTTTCTAAGAATACAAACTAAAACAAGTGTGAAACATTTTTTGGTAAAAGATAAATAAAGACAATGGAAGAAACTATAAAACAATTCTGGATTGGTAGTTGTGACACTATTCTCTGGATCTTTCAGTTTTAAAACTTCTTGAATTGATACTTTTCTCTGGGATTTTCACATGCTCTAGGAAATATGAAGGTTAGAATTCCCTGAAGTAACTCCTCCTACTTTGGTTACAGAAGTGAAAAAGTAAGCTCCCAAAGCATACTGGTTTGTCATCTAGCTGAAGGGGCATGTTTGAAAGTCCTTGAAACAAATTCCTCTCCTTTGTAAAAACAGTTCTGCAGGGCAAACACTACTAGAAGAAAGAAAAATCCTTGAGTTTGCTGTGTGGACCAAAGAAGCAGAAGTGTAGTAGGGAACTGTGGCATAGCGCTGCCTTTTAGCAAAACTGCTCCTTTGATACAAATTGTAAGAAAGCTTAGTATCGTTCTTTCCTATTCCATAGCCTTCTAAATCATTGCTAACAGCAACATACAGCAAACTAGCCACAGAGAAATCCTTCCTTGCCAGTTAATCCATTTTAAAACCCTGACAGATCATCTCCTCAGCTATCTGATATTTCTTCCTGAGGATTTTATTTCAAACACCTTTCTGGTTTATTATTTTTGTAATTTTCTTGAAATTATAGGGAAAAACGAAAAAAGGGGTGTTCTCCTAAGGAAGTAAGTGGCAGATGAAGACTCATAAAAGGAAACCTGGGATACAGTGAGATATTAGTGGAATATTAAATCCCAACTACACTCATGCTGTTTGAAATTCATTCCACACAATTAATATTTGGTTCTTCCAGGATAAGCCAGACTGCAATGGCTGAAAAAAAGTGTGGATACTGAAAAGTGAGAAGTTTAAGCCTTAGCATTGGCTTTAGTGTCCTAAAAAGATCAATATTCCAATTCCAGAGAATGCAATAGCAAATTACTAAAACCATGCTGGACAGGATGGCATTATTTAGTGTGTGTACTGAACGAAACACACTGTATCAGCATGAACTGCCAGTTATGTGCAATAAACATAAATGTGATGACTCAAAATAAAAATATTTCTAATCTTTGTCTCCTCCTGGCAAGAAATATGAGCATATATCATGATACATTTTACTATCTTCTCAGTCCTTTTATCTTACCTGCAACTGCAAGTAGCAAAGAAATGTTGAGGCTTTGAGGAAGACTTTCACTGTCGGAGTTGACATGAATCCCACTGTCCCAATTGCCTTCTCCTTCAGTACCATGCTAGTGTCACATGAATACATTCTGTCCAAGCTCCTTAAGCTGCTGAAATTTTGGAGCTTGTTCTTTGTTTCTTTGTAGACTGTAGCTTTTGATTCAGTATTGTCAGACATCCCACTAGGTGATCTTACTCAACAATTTAATAAGCTGAACAGTGAACTCGCTGCATTTTCAATGAGGTGCAGAAAACAGCCTATCTTGCCAGGTAATGTACTCCAAATACACAATGGTATGAATAGAAATTATCTCAATGCACCAATAATAACAGCTGCCTCTACCTCAGCAAAGCTCCTTTGTCACAACACACGAACATTACACAAATGATGTATGTCAAAATGCCAAAAAAATTATCATTTTACAGTCACAGTTCAATCTGCACGTAATCTTACCTATTCTATTTTATTATACCAATGAATTAGTAAATTAAATTCATAAATACTCACATTAGTCTGACTCTTCTCAAAACAACGTCTCTTCTCTTCTGATGCCCTTGGCTACCACTGAAGTTTAAACCAGATTAAAATACTTTCATTTAGCTCAACAGCTAGAATAACTGTATGGTACTAATCTGCTAATATCGTATTTTTATGACAATAAAAGGAAAATTAAGCGTTTTTCTCTTACAGTAGCTGATTCTAAACATCTGTGTTTATTTTTGAAATAAAACAAGTAAAAAGCTGACTGATAAACACCAGAATTTTACATTAAAGGAAAAACACCTTGCGAGATTTACTGTGTTAAAGGTATGCATCCAGCAGTTAGATACAGCTGCTGTCTCAAGAAGTATGTTAAACTTGATAAATTTTTACAAATTATAAGAATGCAATGATAAAATGTCCTAGTTTTTGTGATAATCTACCAACTACCTGGAATGCAACTACAAAAATACTTTCCCAAATTTTGAAAGAATTCACTATTGCCTTCGAAATACAAGATTCTTTTCTGACTTTAAATATGACAGCTAAGTGTCAGCCAAAATTCAACACTGCCGTAACAATAACATGGAGGTGCTGCACATCTGATTTTGATGAAAATCTCTAGAAAACCCCTTGCCATTAAATGTTGGACCCAAATCCTTTATCTTCATCCGGAATGAGTTAAATACAGAGATATATTATGTGTTACATTTTTATTTTCTTTGTTTTTAATAATGGCAGCACTGCAGCCAGTACACAACAAAATAAGGATTGCCCTATCTCATAGAATCATACAATAGTTAGGGCTAGAAAGGACCTTAAGATCATCAAGTGGGACACCTCACACTAAACCATGTCACCCAAGGCTCTGTCCTACCTGGCCTTGAACATTGCCAGGGATGGAGCATTCACAGTTCCCTTGGGCAACCCATTCCAGTGCCTCACCACCCTTACAGTAAAGAACGTCTTCCTTATAGCCAATCTAAACTTCCCCGTTTAAGTTTTAACCCCTTACCCCTTGTCCTGTCACTACAGTCTCTAATGAAGAGTCCCTCTCCAGCATCCCTATAGGCCCCCTTCAGACACTGGAAGGCTGCTATGAGGTCTCCACGCAGCCTTCTCTTCTCCAGCCTGAACAGCCCCAACTTTCTCAGCCTGTCTTCATACAGGAGGTATCTCATCTTACAATAGTAATGAACTTACCAAGATTGACATGTGAATGGAAGCTTTTGTATACCTAAAATAATATGCTCACCTCATCTGAACACACAGGGTTAAAAAATCCAAATTTAAAGACAAGAGTGTTCAGAAAAGCATATTATCTGCCAACTTCACCTAGTGTACCAGAAATCATAGAAGCAAGAAAAACTAAATCTAGGCAATGCTGGTAAACATTAGATGATCATAGCAGTCTGCAGCCTTGCAACATGTCCTGGAGTACGCAGAAGTCCCATAACCGAATAGTGTTTCAAATCAAGACATCAAGAAATTTTAAATTAAACATTTCTGAGTTGAATTGCAAAGTTTCAGAACATCAGGTTTCCAGATACATCACTTATTGACAGGATTTCCTAAACATACTCAAAAGATTCAACTATTTTGTAATAATGATTAGTAAAGTTTTCTGTTGTGGTGAGGGGGAGAGAAGTTGGAGAAATGGAGTCATGATAGAAAAAATGCAAGAGATAACAGTATTTGCTAAAAAATGACTAGGAAAGGGTAACTACCAAACACAGAGAAAAGAATAAAGAAAAGAATGAAAAGGAGACCAAGAAAGCACAGAAAACATTGCTTTAGCTGCTTCCAAAGGGGTATCGGTCCTGAACTGAAAGCTGCACGCTGGCTACGAAAAGAAATATATCAACATTTTTTGTTAATAATATGGATTTTAAATCCTGCTAGCCACTACAGTTCTTGCACAGACTGCTAACCAAAATTCACTTCTGAGTAAGTATTTCAAGTTTATTTCTAAAAAAGTTACACCTTCATACAAAACTGTGATAGAAACAAGCTTTACAGTGGTATGGTACAAGCTAAAGATTTCTGCACTAGCTAATACAGTCATTGTCAAATGTCGGTTTTAGTCTTTTCAGAATTTTTTGAAAGTATTTCTTCAAGAAAACTTTTACTGGAGAATTTTGAAAGTAATTAGGTTATGACTTCAAACGACTCCACTGAAAATTAATTTGATCATTATTTCTTTGTTACTAGACTGTTGCCTGAGTAGCCAATGTTTCTTATCACTAACATGGACATTACAGGCTTCAACAGAATTTCAACTCCACCAAGGACCTTTAAGATCAGCTTCTTTTTAGTGATCAGAGAACTGTGCTACACCTTGTTCATTTTATTTTAAGTACATAATTATGTTTCAAATTTTGAAAATTAAACAGGAAAACTTGTAAGGGATGTAAATTTTTCGTTAAGATGGAAAATATGGAACATAGTCCCTTGACAAACTGGTAACATATGATATACCCTTTAATAGTACCTCTCTCTCTTAGCAAGCATCTTTGTTTCTCTTCATGCTCCCAAGAGTGTGTACTATCAATAACTGAAACAAAAAAATTCAAACTGTCATGCAGACAATGCACAACAAGAAAATATGTTGACTTTGGTAAATTTATTAAATATTACAGGGTTCAAGCTGACATCAAAAGAAGTTATTTCCCCCCCCCACCAAATCCTAATCCCTTTCTCCAAAAAAGTATTTATGGTGATCAATAAAATAAAAATGGAGACAACATGTAATCTCAAAAATGTTTGTGGAATACTCAGAAAATTTCTGGCTGCAGAAACAATCTTTAGCATGCTCTTGTGAAAAAATGTATCCAAGAATCAGCAGTTCTCCCCACAGTTTTGATTACTCCTCGGTGATCTCAGAGGAGATTAATTTAAGTAGGCTATGGAAGAAAGTGAACATCCATATGAAAGAGAGAATCGGAGTGCTCATATATTTTAGTATATTCTGTTCTTTAAGTACAGAATGCTCCCAGATTTGAAGCCAGGAATGAATACCACCAATGGCACTCTGAGTAAACTGCAGATAGGATCATTCAGCTTTCCATTTCATGAAATAAGAAATTAGACAAGATTAACAGAAGTCAAATCTTTGTTATATGGTACATATACTAAATCATGTTAAAACAGTTCTTTGAAATGAGCCTGTGTAAAATGTATATGGCAGTCTGAGTGCCTCTGTTAAAGTTCAGTTAAAATATCAATGATCAAAGAAGTGATTCTTGTAACACCTCTCAGCACCCTGGTTTGGATTCTCTCTGTAGTTATGGTTTTCATGTTTTGATCCATGCAACACTGATGGTCTAATGACTGCCTGAGAGGCTGTGAAAGACTGAAAAAACCCAAGCCTACCATCAACTAAGTTTTCTCCACAGAACATGTTTTACACAGTAACTAGCTCTGTAAGGGTGGAAGCTACATGGATAGAGATTTGGGAAGGTAACAGCCATCAATCGTAATCAAGTTAGGATCAAAGTCTATGACTTCTACATGTGCGATTCAGAGGCTGAGTAACAAATTGTGTTAACATAACTGTAGTTGTGGCCTGTGGCTTCTAAACAGAACCACATATGGTTAGTATTTCAGCTATTCCAAATGACAAAGGCAAGGATCCAAAGCAGTCCATTAAAATAAGCATATTCCTTATTTTTTCTTTTTTTACAAAAGTGATTATACCTTTTAACTTCATAAATATAACAGGCTAAATTCCAATGAAATCAATAGTCTAGAATCTTGATTTGGTCTGAAACAATAAATTAAGGGCTGTTTTGTCCACTGCCTTTGCCTGCATTAACATTTTTTCCTCCTCTTACAAAGAAAAAATGTTCAAAAGAACAACTCGTTTTGCCTGCTCTAATACCAAAAAAAAAAAATCATTCAGTAAAGACTTTAATTAGTTTAAGGCTGTGAACCCCAGCTTCTCCTGGCACACTGGTCAGACATGGATCCAGAAACATGTTGTGGACAGCATGATATTTTGTGCCGTCCATGAAATCTACACTGCACTAATGTTAATGTTCTTGCACAAGTGGAATACATGATATTTATAGAAGCAGATTTTGTGAGAATTGAAAGGATAGGAAAATATATAAAATATTAGCAATTACATTAAGGCATTAAAAGTGAAGAAAAACAACTTTTTGAGAATTAAAATCATCAGTACAGTTGAAGGAATGTATAATATGTAAAATCCAGATGCCTATGGTTCAGAGGTAGACAGAGTATTGTAATGCAGACAAGGAAAGAGATGAAGTTTCTAAAGAAGTGCTGAAAATCACAGAATCCTCTTAATCCAGGCTGATTTTAAGAGTATTATTACTACAGTTAGAGATGATCTCAAGATACTGCATTCCATACACCCGGAAGGGATAGAGAATATTACATGCCAACTGTATGCAACTTATATAGGTGTAAGAAAAGATATGTATTCTCTAAAGTGATGCTTAATCTATTAAGATTGAAAACAAAGGTTTTATAAGATGCTCAACTGAGCAGAGGAATTAATTTTATCAAAATAAGTTGCTGTTGTCCTCAAAAGCCAATCAGTCTAGATAGAACTAGATATTTGTACACTCACGAACATTGTGAGAATTTAGACCATTAAACATGCAATTCAAATTTTAATTCCTAGCTCTCAAGTGGAGTTTTGAAGTTTAGAGTTGAAGAATTGGTGGAGAGAGGGGAAGAGGGTTGGTGAGGGGTTTTTTTGGTCAGGTTTTGTTTGTTTGATTTTTGATCTGTAGACATTAGAAGTTACTTTTAAATACTTTGTTGGATTACTAGATACCAAAGCCTGATCCACCGACTGTGTATAGAGTTCTGGAATTACTAAAAGCAATCTTCACCACAGCATACTTCAACGGTATTTTCCCATGCATCCTAAAAATCAATTCATGTGAGTCATAAATCTGGGCTAGAATATTGAAAATAAATGCTAACAGCTGCAAGAATTTTTTAACACTCTTGTAGACTGTCAAACGTTCTTTTGTTTACACCTTTATTCCGGTTTTATTCTGTAACTTCACACACTTTCTATTTATGTAACAGCAGATGTAGGTCTACTACTATATAGTAATCTATTCTTATGCATTTTTCCTTTAAAAAATCATTCTAAAATGCCACATGTTCACTATTCTTTGTTTGTCATATTAAAGTATTTGTCAAAATTTACACAGAATAATTGACAAAACCCAGAACTGGCCTGTGTTTTATGTATCTCAACATCACACTTCAATTTTTTTGAACACAAGCTGTCAAGATTTCAACTGTTTAAGCCAAAGGTTATACAAATATTATAGCAACCAAAAGATCAGAAAACTCTGAATGTATTTCAATGTTCTTTTTGTTTTAGAAATGACTGTATGTGAAAAATAAAGAAAAGATTATCATCCTCCAGCCACCCACTGGCAACTTTTATGCAAATTCCTGCAAAACAAAATATTTGAAAACAGACCACTTCATAAAATTCCTTACAGAAACAACAAACTAGTTTTCTATATGGCAAGTTTCTTCTAGTAAGTTAAATCATAGAATCATAGAATAGTTAGGGTTGGAAAGGACCTTAAGATCATCTAGTTCCAATCCCCCTGCCATGGGCAGGGACACCTCACACTAAACCATCTCACCCAAGGCCTCGTCCAACCTCGTCTTGAACACTGCCAGGGATGGAGCATTCACAACCTCCCTGGGCAACCCATTCCAGTGCCTCACCATCCTCACAGTAAAGAACTCTCTCCTTATATCCAATCTAAACTTCCCCTGTTTAAGTTTTAACCTGTTACCCCTTGTCCT